GGCAGGGATTTTCTTAGGAGTTCCCACAAAGCCCCGGCCTAAGAACGCTTTAGGAAGTGCAGAAAGGTAATATGGTGTCACTGAACTCTTTTCTCTTTTGACATTTTAATTTTTTCTAGGTCGTTTTCATTAATTGATTAAGTAGTTGACTTGAGCAAATACTTGTGAAAATTAACAATTCAAGTCAATTGTTAAATTGCAATTGATTGGTAAATACATTTAGAGTGTAGGACTTTACACAAAGTCTTTAAAAGGAGGTGATACAGATTGGGCCTTGAACTCTGTTTAGGGAGAAAATTATCAGTGGTAGAAATAGTTGCACCAGAAATTGGTTAATACTACAAATCAGGGCTTTTCTCCCCAGGAAAGCTGGTTGTTAGTATTTACCAGCACATCACAGGTGATAAAGGAAATAGAACACAAATGTAGAGATGGAAATTAGAAAGATATATTCTAGAGTTAGAACCAGTCTGGAGTCAAGCTGTTTAGAATCTCACAAGGAAGACTAAAGAATTTTGATTTTATCCTATAGACATTGAGGAGTTGTTTATGACATTTTATCGATTGAGGTGCTGTTGGCTACAAGTAATAGAAAAACTACATTCAAATGGCTTAAAAAATAAGGAAGATATAGCATCTCATGTAACAAGAATTTCAAGGAGGACCACTCCAGGATTGGTTAATTCAGCAGTTCACCAAAGACCCAGATTCTTTTAATCTTTATACTCTGCCATCCTTAGTACATCAGTCTGTCTTCCAACCAGCACAACAGTTCCAAATCCAATAACATTGTGCAGCAGAAGAAAATAACTTACTCTTTCTCTTTGTCTCTTTGTAAGAGCAAAGAAGTCTTTCCCAAAAGCCTCCAGCAGATTTTCTTGTATCTCATATTAGTCAGAACTCTCTCACATGCCTGAACCCATCACTGGTAAGGGGAATGGAACCCTGTGATCCATCGATGTTTTCCTTCTACTCAGCCCCTACCCCTTCCACTGGAGCCAGTCTCCCCTGATGCCCACGGCCACAGAGTGAAGAATGGCTACTTGAACCTAATCAAGGTTCTATAAGCAAGGAGGAAGAAAGGAGAAGGACACTGGTTAAGCAATTAACATGTTTGCTATAGCTTTTATCTTTTTTTTTTTGGAACCAAGAAAGCCTAGAAATAGCTTTTAAAAAGAGAGAAAAGATCAATGAAATATTTTAGGAAGTCTAATCTAGCAATAGTGTCCAAGTAGATAGAGGGCCTGGGAATAGAAAGACCCAGTTATGCTATTATAAAAATCTGGATGTGGGCCGGGCGCGGTGGCTCACGCCTGTAATCCTAGCTCTCTGGGAGGCCGAGGCGGGCGGATTGCTCGAGGTCAGGAGTTCGAAACCAGCCTGAGCAAGAGCGAGACCCCGTCTCTACTATAAATAGAAAGAAATTAATTGGCCAACTAATATATATAGAAAAAATTAGCCGGGCATGGTGGCGCATGCCTGTAGTCCCAGCTACTTGGGAGGCTGAGGCAGAAGGATTGCTTGAGCCAGGAGTTTGAGGTTGCTGTGAGCTAGGCTGACGCCATGGCACTCACTCTAGCCTAGGCAACAAAGTGAGACTCTGTCTCAAAAAAAAAAAAAAAAAAAAAAAAAAATCTGGATGTGAAATGATAAGCTACCAAAGCAATGGTTCTCAACTGCCAATTGGCTGCCAATTCATTCATTCATTCAATGTCTATTGAATGAATGACTTCCATGGGTCAGATACTATACTAGGTACTATACATAAAATGGTGAATTTACCTTGTGGAGCTTCAGAATCTAATGGGTGAGGCAAATATCAATCAAATAATACACAAATGTAAATTGATAACCTGGCTAAGTGTTATGAAGAAACCTTGAATTATTTTTCTATTTTTAAAATTGAAGTAAGTTTCACATACATCTATCTCAAGTATAGAATTTGATGTACATGTGTAAAAGCCACCCTTATCAAAATATAAAACATTTCTATTACCCCATAAAGTTCCCTCATATCCCCTTCTAGTCAATCTTTACCTCCCTCCTATAGGTAACTGTGGTTCTGATTTCTATCATCAAGATTATTTTTGCCTGTTCTTGAATTTCACATAAACGGCTTTTTATTTTTTTGCTCCAAAAATGATTTTGAGATTCATCCATATTGTTGTTTAATGGTAGTTTATTTCTAAAAATTGTATTTCATTGCATGAACAATTTAAGTAACCATTTTTCTGTTGGTGAATGTTTGAGATGTTTCTAGTGTGGAGCTATTATGAGTAAAGCTGTTATGAACATTTATGTGTAAGTTTTTTGTGGACATATGTTTTCATTTCTATTGGGTAAATTCCCAGTAGGGCAATTGCTGGGTCATAGTGTAGAAATGTATTTACTTTTATAAAAGCCCCTAATTTTTTAAAAAAAATATAGATTCCTGGTCTTTAGGCCCGAGAATTCTGAGTTAGTCTGAGGTTCCTAGGCATGTAGTTTTTAAAAATCACCACTACCAACGGTCTAAATTACAGTGGTGGCAGTGAAAAGGAAGTTATTTTCATTCGGTTTTCTTTTCCACCACAAAAGCATACAAATGCAAATAATTTCTTTTTTTTCCTGGTTAGCTGCAAAATAGCTTTCTCTGAACATTTCTCCCTACTGTACTCATTAGCCTCAGTATTGAAATAGTCTCTCTTTTTAGTTTCTCTGGTGAAATGCAAAGTTCTGATTTTTCTGTCTTGCTTACAGTGAAGTAAAAGCTCAGGGAGCTCCTTGAGGCAGCCCTTAGAAATGCTAACAAAAGTAAACAAAAACAGGTCTTTAGGGTGGAAAAGAACTTTGTACTGAATAGCATTTGAGGGAGTGTGGTAGGGTTTTCTTTGCTGCTTTTACTTGTTTCCATACTATTCTACTCTGGCTGCAAAAAATAATCAACTGTGTTCTAGCTGCTGGTGACATCTATATCAGACAGCTGTTTCTGATCATCCAACATAGTGACATAGTGAATGGCTGCACATCACTGGAGAAGAAGCCCTTAGTTTCTAGGCAGATAAACTGATACACAGGAATGGGAAGGGAGTCAATGGATTAGGGGCTGGCTGAGCTGGGACCAGAACCCAGGTGGCTTGGCTCCCAGCCTAGCTGACCACACTGCTACCCACACAGGCTGGGCTGACCAAAGACAAGCAGCCCATTGAGCAACTGCACAAACAACAATGAGTGATGGATGGTCAGAGCAAGAAACAGGCACAAAGCAACTGCAACCCCATCACTTCCTGGCCCCTAAATTTCCAGGCAAGGCTATAAAGTGTGGTCACTTAAATGACTTTGACCAGCAACTTAGCCTGGCTTTCAAATCTGGAGACTTTTTTGGTCACTGCCAAAAGAAAAAGTCTGTCTTGTACTGAGAATGGAGAGTGCCTTTGAACTCCATAGCTGGTCATGATGAGTCTGTGGCAATGGTGTTAAGACTAGAAATTAGTCTTAATTAACAAATGGGTATAACCTGGTTCTAGAGGGCTGTGGTAAATGAGGCAGCTTTCAGATTTTTCAGGCTCCCTGTCTGTGGATCTGCCCTCCCACCTCAGATTTAGCTAGCAAGGGGGAGGTGTGATCAAGGGAGTTTAGTGAGAATCAACTTAGCTGACCAAATCTCATCTTGCTTTCTTCAAATTTGCCACTAAACAGTAACCAAAATTTGTGGTCCCTGAATTTGTGAAGCCGAGGCCACATGGCTCTACTTGTCAGCTTTATTGTAGGTCCTGGGTATGCCCCATGCAAGGCATACTGATCTGTTTGGCCTTGGTATGTACATATGGCCCCAGGCCCAGCCCTAATTCTCCAATTCTAAACCCAAGGGTATCCCTATGAGATACAGCTGTCTAGGAAGTTTCCTGTTTCAGGTGTCAGGTTCCTAGTCCGAGCCGGATAATTCTAAAGTATCCATGCTACACCTCTCCCCTTTAGAAACTGAGGACTTCAGGAAGTACTGAGGAGAAAGAAGTTGATTGCAATACTTGTTTTTACACAGGCCTAATGGGCACAATTTAGACAATAAATATTTTGAATATGCAGACCAGCTGTCACAATGTTAGGAATCTGAAGTAAAATTTCATATTTCTTTGGTTAGAGTATAGCAGGGGCTGGCTTGGCTCCCTTTTGGGTTTGTCATAAAGAGGTATTTATTAAATAGCTTTTCTTACTTAAAACAGTCCACAATCACCTAATATTTCTTCATTCATTCAACACATATGGAATGTCTACGATGTGGCAGGGATGGCTTGTTTATGTTCTCATATTCATAGCTCACTGTAATTCACATAGCGCATATGTGAGTTCTGCCTTATATAATATAGCTTTATGTATTTTACTAAATTGTAAGACCTTTAATGTCTTAGATTGTGTTGATTTCAAATAGAAGTGACTCAATAAATATTTGAATTATGATGCAATGTTGTGAAAGATATTACAAAAGTGCTACATAACTTTTTTTTATTGTGTTAACAGTCTAAAAGCAGATATATCAATAGGGTATCATTGTTATGCAAGTAAATAAATACCAAGGGCTTATAGGGAAGGGTATGTTCAAGAGTGAAGGAACAAGGAAAATGCATAACTGGGTACACACTGCTCTAGAAGAAGTGTTAATTTTCCTCTGGTCAGTCCAGACTGATTGTGTAGGGTTTCTAGAATTTCAGTCGTCTAAAGTATTTTCACCCCTCTCACCTTTCTGGAACTACTCCGCCCCTTTCTGCTCCTTCTCAAAGGCTGTTGCCAAATGATTCTACCCCAACGTCTTAAGAGTCCACCCTGTGCCCCTCCAGCTCCAATTCAAGAATGCTCCAGACCATGAGCTTTAGGGACGCTGGCCAGGAAATCACCGGGTCACGCGCGGGGCAAGCGCCAAACTGGGCGCAGCTCCGGGAGCGGCGCTAAAGGCGGGGCTGCTACGGGGCGGGGCGGGGCGGGGAGGGAGGAGGCCCGGGGGCGGCTTGGGTGTCACCACCAACCCGCTCCGGCCGGAAACTGGCGCTTGTTTCCGGCCGGCCGGCCGAAAGCCACCGATCCTGAACCAGCCGCCGTAGTCGGAGTGGCAACCGGGTGTGGAGCAGGCAAAAAGCCACTGGGGGAGGCCAGTCCCGATCAGTCCCGTCTGGCTCAAGCTCTAGATCCTGTGCGGAGCACCATCCGCGGTCGCAGTCTCCGCCACCGCCTCCGCCTCCTTCGTCGTCTGGGGAGGGACCGGCCAGACCCCGGGGTCACTGCCGAGGAATGAGGAGAGGCGGCCGGGCCCCGCGCTCCGCCCCGGCCTAGGGCCTTGCCCCAGGAGCCGCGAGGGTAACGGAGTCCCCCGCCCTGATAATCTTCCCCGTCTGCTCCCGTCCCTCTCGCCTCTTCAGACTCCCAAACTCCGCACCTCTGATCTCCACTGTCCCCCTTCTCCTTCCTGGTTATATTTCAACCGAAGCCATCTCCCCTCGGCACCCTCTCCTCGCCCCGACTGCTCCTTGCTTCGTCCTAACCTTTTCCCCTTTATTCCTCCCTTTCACCTGCGTCCCGCGTGCCTAGCTTCCCTCCTGAATTCCTGGCCTCCCTTCCTAAACTGTGCTGGGCAGTTTGAACAGTCGCCTCTTGTCAGCTAGACTTTCAGGGAGGTATGATGGAGTTTTAGGGTGGTTAAGATACAGGCTGCTACCCTCATAATGGGATAAAGTTCATTTAAAAATCTCAATATGAAAGTAAAATGAAAACAAGCTTATTCTCTCTGTTGATAGCCAAACCGAAGTGCTTCCAGTAATGGAGGAAGGGAGCGAAAAAGGTGTGTGTGTGTGTGAGAGAGAGAGAGATTCTAGGGCAGTGTTATGAAGTTTAGAAAAAAAAGTTGCCATGAGCCGATGGAAACTTTAGAAGCTGATGATGAGTAAGCCGGGGGCTGCGTGATCTCACTCTTCTCATAATTACTAGGTTAACGGTGTGTGTGGCTCCGGTCGGGATGGAATGGGATTTGTTTACTGGGCAGGCGTATTTTTAGCTTGTCGGCTCACAAGGACCAGCGCTCAGTCTCTCTTTCCCCTCCCTCGTGGTAGTCGTCTGACCTAGGTGGCTTCTCTGGGTACAATACAGACGGAAAAATTTGAAAGTTAAAAGAAGCTGACTGGTGGAATTTTATTTAAGAGGTTCCCCACAAACTTTCAGGGAGTTTTGTTTTTATGAATGCAAAGCCAAGAAATGTCAGGACTTTAATTTTTATTTTCCTTATCTTTTTATAAGTACTACAGAGACTGCCTTATTTAGAGGCAGGTAAATTTTCAGTATTTGGCTTCTATAATAGTATTTAGATCTTTGAGGAGGCTGGATTCTTTTGTCTTTCAGAACCTATTTCAAAGGTGGAAAAGGACAGGTAGAGAGAAGAGGTGGTGGTAAGACTAGTCCAAAAGGGTAGCGCTAATCCCTAAATATTTTAAAAACATTTTCTATACTATGTAACTTTTAAAAACATTTAGAAAATTTCCTCCCTAGTAAATGAGATTGCATTCCTGATGGGGTGGAGACTGAGGGGATTTATGCTGGGTGGCTAGGGAGAATCAGACTTGTAGTTAAACATTTGCTGTGCATAATTTACAAATGAATACATTATAGTCAAACAATGAAGAATTAATTATACTCTTAGTCTTCATTGTTTTTCAAGCAGTTCTTTTAAAGTTTAGTAACCAACCTGCTGTAAGCTGAACAGAACTGTAAAGTAAATGAAATTAATGTTGCTCATCTGCAGGCTGAATACCAGTCTGTTCTAATTTCCACTAGTGACCCGACCCGGCATGCCTCAGAGCACCGCCCTGACAAAGTGGCCAGTTACTATGTACTTAGAGATTGCAAATGAATACAAATATTAGCTAATGCTAGGAATAATTGAGAAGGCAAATATGCTGAAAACATATATTCCAAAACCAAAATACATCTTATTCGATTTTTCCCCCATTTTGTGTTATCAGCACCTTGTGTCAATAATTATCCATTAACATGAATAATTTAGAATTGGACAGATATCTGCTTTGAACATTATGAATTCAAACAGAAAGGAAAGATTAGAAGGAAGATAGTTTCCAAACTGTTACTAATTGTTGTTTTTGTTGTCTGATTTGACTTATTCCTTTCATTTAATGCTAAAGACTACCTCAGAAAAAAAATGTAAAACTTTGCCAAAGAAAGGGCTGTCTGCTGATGTGTTTAAGGCAGGATGACCAGTAATGAATGCTAATTGTTAGCTAGACTTTGGTGGCCTTATGTCACCAACAACTTAGAGATTTTATTAAAGCTTTATTTACTTAATCTTTCTTTTCTTTTGAAAAAAGATTTATTTTGGAGATCAAAATCTAATTTTTAAAAATCCCATACACTCTTCAAGAGTCTGTTCACTATCAATAATTGTTTTGATCTGTGTTAGCTGGTTGGTGCCTGCATTAGTGATGAAATCTGGGTGAATTCTATTTATATCTGTACTTAGCAACTTATCCTAGTTGAATTGTATATTTTATTCCAGTGGGTGGGGATTGAAGGGATTGAATAAACCTAGGAATAAGCGTAGAGCAGCCCAGTATCCCACCACTATTCTCAGTTCTCAGAAGGCTTTGTTTGGAATTTTGAGATTCAATATATGTAACCAAGTGAATTATGGTGGAATAATTTAGTATTAAAAATAAGCTTCAGGTTGTTATGAGGGCACTAAGTGCCATTTGTCAAAGTTTTGGTGCTCTCAATATTTCAAGCATGCTAAGGATGCTAGCAGAGGCCATATAGTGTATGTGTGTGTGTGTATGTATGTATGTATGTATATGTGTGTATATATTAGTACCCCTCTCCTTACCCCAAACACTCATCCCACCAAACAATGCTTTAAAATGTGACCTCAGCAATATCGTTCCTTTGGGAACTTAAGAGCTGTGGAATAACAGGCAGTCTGTGGAATCTTCACAGTAGCCCCTGAAATTCAGATAATTAAAAATTTGTGTAATTGGAAGGTAGAGCAGGGTAGTTTTCTCATGAATGCCTGAATTTAGTAGACTTTTTAATATGATAGAAGAGAGTTGACTTTTTAAAGTAAGAATCCTTGATTAATAACTGAATACTCCTGTGTATAAAGCAGGCTCCAAGCTCCAATGACAGGCTTTAGGGTGACATAAAAGATATAAAGACAAGTGTCCTTGCCCTTGGTGTGGGATGTAGAGGGGAAAGGTAGTATATAAATGGAAAAGCAGACTATTATTATAAGATTCAACATTTAGGAAACAGCATATAAACAAAACCAAGTTTAATGTGCTACAAATGGAGTAGGTAAGGGCTGAGAAAACTTGAAGTAACAAAGAATCAATGAGATAAGTGAGGGAAGATTTCTGAATTAGTAAATTTTGAAGTGAACTTGTGAGGATGTGGGTTAGTCAGTGGTATGGGCTCTGGAGTTAGATGGATCTTGGTTCTACTTTTTCCTATGTGGCCTTGGACTAGTTATTTTCTTCCTCATGAGTATTCAAGTAAGTTAAATAGTTATTGTGTTGGACATAAAGGACAAGAAAAGATCTTCCAAACAAAGTATAAAATGTACTGTGTGCAGTGATGGTATGAATGACTAAGTTGTGTGTGGGGGGAATAAATGAGAGTGATTGGATAGAATGTGGGTTGGTCAAGTCATGGATAGAACAGGCAAGAGGGTGGAGGGGCCTCAGAGGCCAGAATCTGTTGGATGTTGATGGAAGGGTCAATAGAGTCATTGTAGGTCTTTGAACAAAGGGTGGATTTAATTAGATGTATTGAGCCCTTTGGTCCAGGAACTCCAGGATATGGAATCAGGCAGGCACCAGTACATTGCAACTTTTCTCTTCTGTACCATCCTGGCCTAAAGGAATGTCTCCTCTTATCCAGGAGACATAAGATTCCTTGTAGAAGATTTTGTATTTACACACCTTACTCACTATACTGAGCTCTGCTTATGCCTATCTCATAGTGCACCAACCTGTGGGGAAGTCTCAAGACTATGGCTGGATTCTCCTCAAGAGCTTATGGTAAGGACAGTGTTATGTTTCAAGTACATTTAACCCTTAGTTATCTCTGCTAACGTAGGGAGCACTGTTATAGGTAATTTAGAACTTAACAAAGAAATGTCTTGGTTTGAAAATGCATTACTTTTTATTTTTTAAATTTATTTTTAATTAATTTTTTTAGAGACAGAGTCTCACTTTGTTGCCCAAGCTGGAGTGCAGTGGCATAATCAATTGAAGCTCACTGCAGCCTTGAACTCCAGGGCTCAAGCAAGCCTCCCTCCTCAGCCTCCCAAATAGCTGGGACCACAGGCCCATGCTACCATGCCTGGCTAATTTATATTTTTTAGAGATGAGGTCTCTAAAAAATTAAGTAAATAGCTATGTTGCCCAGGCTGGTCTCAAATCCTTGGCCTCAAGTGATCCTCAGAAATGCATTATTTTTGCTCATGCCTGTAATCCTAGCACGCTGGGAGGCCGAGGCGGGAAGATCGCTCAAGGTCAGGAGTTCGAAACCAGCCTGAGCAAAAGCGAGACCCGTCTCTACTGAAAACAGAAAGAAATTAATTGGCCAACTAAAAATATATAGAAAAAATTAGCCGGGCATGGCGGTGCATGCCTGTAGTCCCAGTTACTCGGGAGCCTGAGGCAGTAGGATCACTTGAGCCCAGGAGTTTGAGGTTGCTGTGAGCTAGGCTGACGCTACGGAACTCTAGCCCAGGCAACAGAGTGAGACACTGTCTCACAACAAACAAAAAAAAGCATTCTTCTTTAAACCAAATTTATCTTCATTTTTTGGAATAATACTGATATTGAAATAAATTTCTAAGCCTATATTACCTGATGGTGAGGAGAATATACTGATGGTGAAGAACAGTCAATCTTGGATTTAAGGATTTGGCCTCAGAAATCCATAAAATGAATAATCCATTTGTGGATAATTAAGACTATAAACTGTACCGAGTATGTTAATGTAGACCAGTTTCTTTTCAAAATTTGTATGGGTCCCATGTGACCTCTTAGTCTGTCTGCCTTATCATAGGGATGACTGGTAGGTGATGCCTGCGTTCCAGCCAGAATGAGTTTTCACTCACAATATCTGGAGGAATCCCACTGCGTTATGTTGCGTTGTTGAAGATTAAGCTGGCTTTTTCAAAAGACTTGGGCTTTGTAGAGGCTCTTCCAGATACCAGCATTACTGAAATATTTGTCACATTTTTCCTCCTGAAGGAAACTTGTTTGAAAATATGGCCAGTGAAAAAACAGAAAAAAGAAAAAGTGGGCAGAATTGTCCACATTTAAGAAGTAAACAAAATCACACACTGTTCTTTCACCTTTTTTCTTTCAGTTGACTTGCTTTCCTGCATCCCTGCCACCCTCCCCTACCTTCTTATAATCATTACCACACTATGTGTTTGTGATGTCATGAGCACAGGATTATTTTTACTTCTTGAGCCAGGAGACTAGTATTTCTGAGCTGGAAATTAGAGGTAGAAAAGTCAGGAATCTTATTTTATACTAGAGAGGGATTATTTTCAACTGTGTTCTTTAGGATTATGTCTTTTATTTCCTCTAAGAAATAGTTTTGGATAGGAGAAATTACTAAACTGTTATTTTCAGTGACTTGCTATGAGTTTAAATCGATGCTAGGTGCTGTGGAGGTTTAGGAAAAATGACAACTTCATGCCTTTTAAGAGTTTATAGTCCAATTGGGAGTAAGAGGAACAGGAAGGAATGAACACTTATTGAGCCTCTATTAATATGCCAGACAAAATTTTAAAATGTGAAAGTATATTATCAGCTGCATAGTACAGACCTCATACTCTAGGTATTTTGAGAGAAGAGTATGCAGGTAGTTATGAATGTTATCACAGAGGAATTATAACTTATTCAGATCTTAAAAACTAAAACGTATATTAAGTATAGGAATGAAGATGAAGAGAATAAAAAAAATAATTTCATTTTGGAGCTGAAAAAGCCTAGAAACAGGACTATACCTGAGATGTTCTTGGGGCAATGATGAGACTGACCTGAATAGCAGTGACTAGTAGTGAAATGAAAGTAGTTAGGTTGGTTTGGAGCTATATTTCTAGGGGTCTTATGAGTTTATATTTTAAACGATAGAAATAGGGAACCACTGAGGATTTTTGACTAGGATAGTAATATGATGATAGTAAGACACAGGTTGACTTGGAGGGAAGGGAGGTTGATGCCTGGGGTATGTGAAGTGATGAGGCCCAAATAGAGTTGTGGGGTGTGCCAAGGAGAAGAAAGAGTGAAAAAGAGATTGTGAGGGAAAAATTGAAATTAGTGAGGACTGGATATGGGAGATGAAGAAGGGTGATGAGTTAACTAGGTATCTGAGACATTGACTGGGATAAAGAAGTTAGGAAAATTTCCTCATTTTTTTAGGGGAATATGATGAGTTCAGCTTGGGATGTGTTGGATATAAAGTGGCAATGAAATGTCCAAATGAGAGCTATTCTGCTTGTGAGAGTTAGGAGCCCAAACCTGGGGTAGAGGTGAGGGCTAGTAAGTTTGGAAATGCAGTTTTTCAGTTCATCGGCATAGGTGTAGTAGCTGTAGCCAAGAGAATTAATAAGCTCTCTGAGAACTAGGGTTTAGGGAAAGAGCAGAAGAGCAAAGAAAGTGGTACTGATAAACCTGAGCACTAGCATTCCCTACTTTCCAGGCCATATCTTTCCTTTCCTTTCCTTTCCTTTCCTTTCCTTTCCTTTCCTTTCCTTTCCTTTCCTTTCCTTTCCTTTCCTTTCCTTTCCTTTCCTTTTCTCTTTTCCTTCTTTCTTCCTTTTTCTTTCTCTTTCCTTCCTTTCTTTTCCTTTCCTTTCTTTCCTTTCTTTCCTTTTTTCTTTCCTTTCCTTTCTTCTTTCCTTTTCCTTTCCTTTCCTTTCCCTTTTCTTTCTTTTCCTTTCTTTTCTTTCTTTCTTTCTTTTCCTTTCCTTTTTTCCTTTCTTTTCCTTTCCCCCTTTTTCCTTTCTTTCTTCCTTTTTCTTTCCTTTTTCTTTCTTTTTCCTTTCTTTTCCTTTCCTTTTCTTTCTTTTTCCTTTCTTTTCCTTTTCCTTTTCCTCTTATTTTTTTCCTTTCCTTTCCTTTCCTTTCCTTTCCTTTCCTTTCCTTTCCTTTCCTTTCCTTTCCTTTCCTTTCCTTTCCTTTCCTTTCCTTTCCTTTTTTGTCAAATGGGGCAGGTAGTGGGGAGCATCCATCAGGTCAAGTTACACCCCATCATGGCTCCCACTGCCCACCCCTCCAGGCCATCTTAATTGGTTCTTCCTTCTTCTTTCCTGTTCCTCTACTCCTTTGTCAGATATCCATTGAATGTCTCCTATCTTGTAAGTACTGTCGTAGGCATTGAGGAGATGGAGATGAGTCAGACAAGGTCTCTACCCACAAGGAGCTTTAGGTCTAGCAAGAGGAGACAGATGTGTAAAATATGTAGGTGGCATGAAGTGTGATAGATGCTGCAATAGAATTATGTAGGGGGAGAGTGGGAGCCCAAAGGTCAGTTCTACCTTGGGCATGCAGAGGTTATAAAGAGCCTTTCTGACAGTTGGGCACGGTGGCTCACGCCTGTAATCCTAGCACTCTTGGAGGCCAAGATGGGCGGATTGCTCGAGGTCAGGAGTTCGAAACCAGCTTGAGCAAGAGCAAGACCCCGTCTCTACTAAAATAGAAAGAAATTAATCTGCCAACTAAAAATATATAGAAAAAGTTAGCCGGGCATGGTGATGTGCGCCTGTAGTCCCAGCTACTTGGAGGTTGAGGCAGGAGGATTACTCGAGCCCAGGAGTTTGAGGTTGCTGTGAGCTAGGCTGATGCCACAACACTCTAGCCAGGACAACATAGTGAGACTCTGTCTCAAAAACAAAGAGCCTCTCTGAGGAGGTAACATTTGAGCTGAGTCTTTTTTTTTTTTTTGGACAGAGTCTTACTCTGCTGCCCTGAGTAGAGTGCCATGACGTCAGCCTAGCTCACAGCAACCTCAAACTCCTGGGCTCAAGCAATCCTACTGCCACAGCTTCCCAAGTAGCTGGGACTACAGGTGCATGCCATGATGCCTGGCTAATTTTTCTATTTTGAGTAGAGACAGGATCTCACTCTTGCTCAGGCTGGTCCCAAACTCCTGAGCTCAAGTGATCCTCCTGCCTCAGCCTTCCAGAGTGTTAGGATTACAGGCGTGAGCCATGGCACATGGCCTGAGCTAAGTCTTGAAAGATGAATTAAGCATATACCCTATAGATGATGGGGAGAAATACATTCCAATCTGAGAAAACACCTTGAACAAAATCTTGCAGGGGTCCTCAAACTTTTTAAACGGGCCAATTCACTGTCCCTCAGACCCCAGTTGGAGGGCCGTTGGAGAGTGTGGCGCATATTCCACACATGTGCACTGTGGGCCCGGGATGAGTCGGCTGCTAAACAGGACAGGCAGCTGCGTCAAAAACACCCGGCAGGCCAGATAAATGTTGTTGGCAGGCCACATGTGGCCCGCGGGCCGTAGTTTGAGGACCCCTGGAAAGGAATGCAATAGCCAGACTTCTTCAGGTAACTTTTAAATAATTATGGCTGGAGGACAGGGTTGGAGGGCAAGGATGAGGCTGGAGAAGTAGGCAAGACTGGATCACAGAGAGCTTTGTCTTGTTCTGCAATAAATGATAAGATATTTAAGGATTTTAAGCATTGGATGATAAAATAAGTTTCACATCCTAAAAAGGTTATTTATGTTAGTGGTGTGTAGGGTAAATTGGAGAGGGACTAAGCAAAACGCCTTTTAATAACTTCATTCTGCTTAACCATAACAAATTTGTTGAAAATCATCATGTTTATGGAATCCTGGAATCAGAGAACTGGAAGGACTTTTATGCTTTCTTAGTCTTCCTCATTTGATTTCAAGTGGAATACATGAGGTTTACCCAGGATCTCAGAAGTGGTTTAGTAATAGCTTGGTCTAAAATTCAATCTTTAGTGGCTGGTATGTGGTAGATATGTGGTAGGTAAATGTGAGT